CAGTACGGCACTTTCAATTTTACAGTTATTGTAAAGGCTTATATAAGCCACCCCTGTTTATTGAATAAAACATTCTCTCATTGCCTCATTTTGTGTCTTTTATACCTTGAGTTTCTACAATTGGTATCAGAGCTCCTTCATAAGGGGCCTGGTACAGAGTGTGAGTGTGAATATAGAGTGTTGTGAGAGAACCACAAAACATCCAAGTGTGAGAGTACAGTGTGCGTGAAAAAGGATGTCTACCTCAGATAAGTTCGTGCAACCAGCCATACCAAGGTTCGATGGCCATTATGACTTCTGGTCTATGACGATGGAAAACTTCTTACGAAGCAAAGAATTGTGGCAGCTCGTAGAAGACGGCATACCAGTGTTTGGAGCCACAGCCACTGAGGCTCAACGCAAGAGTGTGGCTGAGGCCAATCTAAAGGATCTAAAGGTAAAGAATTACCTATTCCAATCTATTGATCGGGAGATTTTGGAAACCATATTAGACAAAAATACATCGCAGGCAATCTGGCAATCCATGCAGAAGAAGTATCAAGGCTCAACGAGAGTAAAACGTGCTCAGCTTCAAGCACTACGCCGCGAGTTCGAGCTTTTAAGCATGAAAGAAGGGGAGAAAGTAGATACATACCTGGGACGCACTCTCAGTATCGTTAACAAGATGAAATCAAACGGTGAGAAAGCAGATTCTAGCACCGTAGTTAGCAAGATACTCCGATCACTAACCGCAAAATTCAACTACGTGGTGTGTTCCATTGAGGAGTCTAACGACTTAAGTGCCCTCAGAATAGATGAACTTCATGGCAGTTTACTCGTCCATGAACAAAGAATGCAAAGTCTTCAACCATACGAACAGGTATTGAAAATAACTCATGATGATCGATCTGGAACAAGCCGTGGTCGTGGTCACAGTCGTGGAAACAGTCGTGGTCGTGGAAGAGGTCGAGGACGACAACCATTAAATCGAGCACTCATTGAATGCTTTCAATGTCACAAGCTCGGCCACTTTCAGTACGAATGTCCCGAGTTTGAAAAGAAGGCTCACTACACAACATTTGACGAATCAACAGAAGCAGAAGATGAGCTACTACTAGTAACATATGAGGAGACGACACAATCTGTCCAAGAGGAAGACTGGTTTTTGGATTCCGGCTGCAGCAATCACATGACCGGAAACAAGCTTTGGTTCACAGAAGTGAAAGAAGAGGGATTTAGTCGATCTGTTAAACTCGGAAACAACACAACAATGGCTGTCACTGCGAAAGGTAGCATTCAGGTGCAAATTAATGGCACATCTCATGTCATCACCGATGTTTACTATGTTCCAGAGCTTAAAACCAATCTCTTAAGTCTAGGGCAACTCCAAGAGAAAGGTTTAGCTATCCTATTTCAAAATGATACGTGCAAAATATACCATCCAGATCGAGGACTGATCCTTCACACCAACATGAAAGGCAACCGAATGTTCTATCTGACAGCTTCAATGACTTCTCAACCTCTCAGATGCCTTCAAACTGAGGATGCTACCGACAGGGAAACACAACTGTGGCATAGACGCTTTGGGCATCTTCATTTTAAAGCACTAAACATACTTGCGAATAAGCAAATGGTGATCGGTCTGCCACAAATGAAACTTCCCCAAACACTATGCACTACCTGTCTTGTGGGCAAGCAACACAGAGACATTATACCAAAGCAAAGCTCATGGAGAGCTTCAGCAAAACTTCAATTGATTCATGCCGACGTCTGTGGTCCCATCTCACCTGCCTCACACAGCAACAAAAGGTACATATTAAATTTCATTGATGATTATTCACGTAAAACTTGGGTCTATTTTTTACATGAAAAATCCAAAACTTTCACTGCATTCAAGAGTTTTAAAGCCAGTGTTGAGAAGGAAGCCAACACCCACATCACTTGTCTCAGAACAGATCGAGGTGGTGAATTCACATCCAAGGAGTTTGAGAACTTTTGCACACAACAAGGCATCACTAGGCAATTGACGACTGCCTACACCCCTCAACAAAACGGTGTTGCGGAACGCAAGAACCGTACCATCATGAACGCTGTACGAGCTGTGCTACACGACAAGCAGGTTCCAAAACCCTTTTGGCCTGAGGCAGTGCGTTGGCGTATACATGTTCAAAACAGAAGTCCCACTTCTGCCAATGATCAGCGAACCCCAGAAGAGATTTGGAGCGGAATCAAACCACGAGTTGATTATTTTAGAACGTTTGGTTGCATTGCTCACGTGCACATTCCAGATCAAAAAAGAAGCAAGCTTGATGACAAAAGCCACCTATGTATTCTGCTGGGCGTAAGTGACGAATCCAAAGCATACAAACTATTCGATCCCATTACAAGGAACGTGATCGTGAGCAGGGACGTGGTGTTTGAAGAAGACAAAAGCTGGAATTGGAACGAAAATGCAGAAAAGAGCAAAACTGATGTTCTGGATTGGGAAAATGAAGCAGTCGCAGTTGACCCAGTCAATAAAAATGCAGAATCTACATCATATGAAATGACAACTAGTAATGACGAAGTACATAGATCAACTTCCAATTCAGAACACATTGACTCCTCAACTGAAGTCCAGGCTCCAAGATCACGAAGACAACCTGCATGGTTGTCTGATTATGAAACCACCTTTTCAGTAGAAGAGGAAAGCTTGCTGGCACTGATGATGACCGAGTCTAAAGATCCCCAATCATTCAAAGAGGCTTGTACAAATCAACAATGGAGAGAGGCTATGAATGCAGAGATGAAGGCAATAGAAAGGAATCATACGTGGGAACTTGTGAATCCGCCAGAGGGGGTAACACCCATTGGAGTCAAGTGGATTTTCAAGACCAAGTTTAATGAAAGTGGCCACATAGAGAAGTATAAGGCCAGACTAGTGGCCAAAGGCTACGCTCAACGATTTGGAATAGACTATACAGAAGTCTTTGCCCCAGTTGCAAGACTTGACACCGTGAGATTGCTATTAGCTCTAGCTGCTCAAAATGCATGGGAAGTAATGCAACTTGATGTCAAGAGCGCCTTCCTACATGGTGAGCTTAAGGAAGAAGTATATGTCCAACAGCCTGAAGGTTTCATCAAGAAAGGGAAAGAAGATTATATCTACCGTCTCAAGAAAGCACTATATGGGCTTAAACAAGCTCCACGAGCTTGGTATAGCAAGATCGAAGCTTACTTTGCAAAAAAACACTTTGAACGATGCCCTAGTGAACACACCTTGTTCACAAAAAGGATTCACGCTAATATTCTAATTGTCAGTCTCTATGTTGACGATTTGATTTTCACCGGCAATAGCAAATACATGTGTGACGAATTTAAGAACTCAATGAAGAAGGAGTTCGATATGACTGACTTAGGCAAAATGAGACATTTCCTTGGAATCGAAGTTATACAAAGTAACACAGGAATCTTCATTTGTCAAAGACAATATGCTCATGATGTACTAGCTCGATTCAACATGACTGAAAGTAACTCGGTGCGAAATCCAATTGTACCAGGCACAATACTCTCCAAAGACATTGAAGGTGCTGCATTCGACGCCACAAAATTCAAACAAGCCGTTGGGAGTCTCATGTATCTAACAGTGACCCGGCCAGATTTAATGTTTGGAGTAAGTTTAATTAGTCGATACATGGCAAACCCAAAAGAGTCACATTGGGCTGCAGCAAAACGACTATTAAGATACCTCAAAGGAACCCTCGAATATGGTCTATTCTATCAAAAGGAAACAAAGACTGGTCTCATAGCTTATAGTGACAACAATTATGTAGGTGACTTAGATGATAGAAGAAGCACTTCTGGAGCAGTCTTTTTGATTGGAAGTGGAGCAGTTTCGTGGATGTAAAAAAAAACAGCCCGTGGTAAGCTTATCTACCACCGAGGCTGAATATATTGCCGCAGCATCTTGTGCCTGTCAGTGTATTTGGATCCAAAGAATTTTAGAGCACCTTGGATCAACAGAAAAGGAAGCAACTGAAATTTTATGCGACAATAGCTCTACCATTCAATTATCAAAAAACCCTGTCTTTCATGGAAGGAGCAAGCATATAGCAGTAAGATTTCATTTTCTAAGAGACTTGGTTAATGATCAAGTAGTTCGATTGACGTACTGCTGCTCCAATGAGCAAGTAGCTGATATAATGACTAAAGCATTAAAGCTTGATCAGTTTGAAAAAATCCGACACATGCTTGGAGTTACAGCAGTCAGTGAAATAAGCTAAAATGCAGTCATTTAGCTTACGGGAGGGAATGTTAAGTTGTTAAGATTCGTCTGTCACGTGCTCATAAAGTTCCCCGCTCTATAGGGTTGAACTGGTCTTAGGTGGTTGCGTTGTTATTTTATTTACGTGCCTATTTTACTGCCTTGCAGTACGGCACTTTCAATTTTATAGTTATTGTAAAGGCTTATATAAGCCACCCGTGTTTATTGAATAAAACATTCTCTCATTGCCTCATTTTGTGTCTTTTATACCTTGAGTTTCTACAGTATTCAAGTCATTTTGTTTAAAGAATATTTTTTAAAGTAAAATTTAGTTTTAGTGTATTATCAATATAAACAATTTTATATTATCAACCAATTAAAATAAACTATATATATATATATATATATTATAAATATGATTTTGATATAAATTATTAATTTTTATTGATATGATAATCTATTTTTGAATTACAGATTTTTTTAAAAATTTGAATATATTTCAATCAAATTATTTAAAATACGTATTCTTCATAACCTGTTATATGGAGAGGAATTGCATTTTTCAAATAATATTCAGTTACGTCTGAATTGATTGGATAAATACGTACTAAGCCTAATTATTAAATTGATTGATAAATATATTGTTAATAAATTTCCTAATTCGTAAAAAAGATATAATTAAAACAATTATTTCCATACATATATGAATAATAATTAGTTTTCTTTTTTACATTTGGTTTTGTCCATATTTTGGGCACATATAATACCCACACGGCAATCAAGGGTGTTCCCCAAAAGTAATGCCCGTGGGCTCAAGGTCCAATAGCAGCCCTCCGGTGAACTCCACGTACGGGAAAGCAAGTGGTGGGTCATTAGGCCTGATTTTCCACCTGTTGCAAGATAATACATATGAAAATTATTGATGTATTTAAGATGCGTGACCAGTACTGTCACTCGATAACAAAGATAGCAAAAAATAAAGTGGAAAAAATGTTATACCAATATTATTATAATGTAAATCACTATATTTCATACAATTATAATATTTTTATATCTTTTTTTCACCTATCCCTGCAGCTCAAAGTAAAAAGACTTAACCTGAACAATTAAAATTTAGAAACCAAAATCGCACATAGTAAGCAAACCTGAAATTAAGCCTAAATTTTAAATACATTGTACTGCCCTCTCAAAATGGTAATGTACAATGCTTTTTGTACTATATACAATGTAGGTTATAAGCACTATACATATATTGTAGTGTTGGTTATATGCACATTAATATAATGTACATAGGTATATAAGCAGTATACATATATTGTAGTGTAGGTTACACGCATATTGCAATGTACATAGGTGTATAAGCAGGGTGTTGTCATATTTGCAGGGTACCTGTTTTCGTTTTTTGTATTATTTTCGACATTATAACAGGATTAGTTAGGAAATAATGCCAATCTTGGGTAAGTAAACTTCTTGTTAATTCCGTATAGAAAAGATGGTGTAAAAAAATATTAACTGATATTTGATAATTAAGAAAAAAAATGTTTTCTAGTGAAAGTGTAATAGAGACCATTGTGAAAAAATCATTTCTGAAAATTATTTAACAGTAAATCAACGTAGGACTATCAGTTTTGTAGACTTACTATTATATATTAAGCCAATCATAGAGATTCCCAAGTGGGGCGCAAGGAGATAGTTAATTAATGGATATACCCATCTTGCTAACCATAACCTGTGCATGCTATGATCTCTGAGGATAGTTTTGCCTAGTTTAGCTAATGTAATAAGTAAAGTACCTATAATTAAGGACAAGATGATGAAGGAAGAATGCTATCTCCACTTTAGCTAGATCAGCCCCTGGACAGAGTCGTGGACCCCCACCAAATGGTAGTGCTTTCTTGCTTGTCGAATTGTCCTGCAAATAGAGACAAAAATTAGATGTGCAGCATTGTAGGGTAACAGATTAAAGGTGTTACTCGTGTGTTCATTGACATGTATGCAATGAAAGAATAAATTATATAAGTCATATATAAAATACAAGTGTTTGTCTTATGCATTTGAAAGCTTTTATGATTGTTTTTCTTTTTGAGCATGTACTGCAAGAACATACATTCCACCGAAAGGGATTGAACTCCATAGGATTTTCAAAATGGGTGGGATCCAAATGTCCAGAAGACAAGACAGGAAGAACCTTCCACCCTGCGGGTATCACAAAATCTGCAACAATTTTTATATTGCGTGAGAAAGGCTTCAATTAACAATAGATACTTAAAAAGAGGGTTTACGTGGTACATTTTCTATGTCATACTCCTGCATCATTGACTGCTATTGGACTGCAGTAAAATTCTACTTCAGTCCTTAGCTTTATGAAACTTTTGATTTATTCCCTAACTTTGTAAAATATAACAAAATATCATTTAGTTTAGCATTTGATACTTGTAAAAAAAATGTAGCGAAACCACTGAGGTAAAATATTTTGCAACATTTTAGTTAGAAACTAAAATAAAAGAACAATAATGTTCTCAAGTATCAAAGTGAGTCTAACAATCATCGAACAGTATGTCAATAATACAAACAAATTTGAGAGGCATACCATAGAATTCCCCTAGTGTTAACTCAATTGCAAAGGGCTATAAACCTTGTCAATACCTTTGAATTTGACATCTTGAACAGCTTTCCTGTGCACAAATTTGACTACATTACCACATCTCATACCTTCATTTATCACCTATTGTCAAGAATTTTGTTGAATCCATGTGTGAAAGAATAAACTAGAAAACATAACTTTAAGAGGGAAAAATTAATTTGCTACAGGTTACTCAATTTAATTAATTAGTTTAGCTATTACATTTTGAGTGAACTCCATTTGCTTGTAGTCTTCCCAGTTCAGGAGTTCTCCCTCCTTTTTTCTTTTCCTTATATCTTGGTGTTCTTCCTGAAAGGCTCTTAATTAGTTAATATAATCAAATAAGTAATGATTATGAAACATGTGTTGTTGTTTCAAAAAGGTTACAGCTAGGTACCTTTAAACTTTCTAAAGCATTAGAGGCTCCACTAAGGAAATAGACAATCATGGACAGAAGTTTTGCTGTTGTCTCATAACCCCCAAACAAGAGGTCCAACACAATGCTCACCATCTCTTCATCACTCAGGTTCTTCTTTGACAAAATCAAATTCAATAGGTCCCCTCCTTCCACAGGCCCCACATCGTTACCTTTACGCCTCTCCAATATAATACCTTTGATAATAGACGAGAGTCTTATTCTAGCCTGATAGAAGCCAAAAAGTAGGAAAGTCTGGTATCAAAATCAAGACACTTATTTTGCAAAAGCACTTGGATTAAATGGTTAATAACTATCGTCATATTAGTAGTACCTTCAAAGCCTTGTAAAATGCAGTCCCTGGTATATTTAGTGGCAATGAAACGAAGCCCTTGACGTAGTTCTCAAAGTTTTCTAAAATCTTCGAAGCTAGGGGCTCATCAGGATTAATGTTCAGTAGGTGCTTCATCATAACATTGATCGTAAACTGTTTCACGCAGAAGAAAAATACACGTAGAGTATGTGTTTGAAACTGGCAAATCGTTTGAAAACAATAACTTTTTTACTACTAAATTTCTCTAAGAAAGCTAAAAAAAGTGATTACTTTTCCAAAATAAGTTAAACTAAACATGCACTTGGTCTTTAAAATATACCATTACATTCGGTTCTTCTACTTCATCTTGTGTAAAACACAATAAGAGTAGAAGGAACCAATTTGAAACAAAAGTAGAAACAAACTAGCAAATTGATGGCACCATACCATTTTAGCTTCTTTATAGAAAGCAACTTGTTTACTGGTTCGATCCCATGAGTTAATCCTTGAGAGTGCAAGCATTTCCACACAGTGAAGAAAGTTGGATTCGTACTTTGTTGCACTCACGAAACTAACAACGGTGCTTCTTAGCTTCCTGTGAAGGCCCCCTTTAACAATAAGCAAAGAGAACTTTCCCAGGATTTTATGCATCACATTGGGGTAATCAACAGGGAATAATTTCCCTTCATTCTGAAGAATCAACAAGTTGAGCTCAAAGTCACAGGACACTATGGTGGGAGAACCAAACAGATGCGACTTGAAAACTTTGCCATACCTGCATAACAACGATTGCTTAGTCATTTAGACCTATAATATGTAAACTCCACAACCAACCTTTCATAAAGTACAAAACACATATCACTCATGTAATGCTTTTGAGGATAATTACGTGACTATGATTGGCAAAGAGCACAAGAGAAAAGCCTTAAAGGAATTAAATGGTGAAGATAGATGGATAATGGTGTATATACGAAGTTGATAATTAAGTTACCTAGAACAATGTTCTTGTAAGAAGCTTCCCAATGAGTTTGATGTATGTGACTTGAGGAAACCAAGAGTCTCCCCCAGAAAGGGCCACCCCATGATTCCATGGGGCACTTTGTGTGGAGAATATCGTTTGCTTTTGTTAAGATATTTGAGAAGATAAGCAAAGGCAAGGACTGAGAAGAATGTTAATAAGATGGCCAAAAACTGAACCATTGTGGCTATGATATCTCTCACACTGTATGAGAAGGATGCTTTGGTTTGTTGAAATTTCGCAGCACATTTTCTGTCCCGAGGCTTTCTATGCCCACCTGAATATATAGATGCGGAAACAGGCAGCTACTCTGATATTCTTTATCAGTATTATTCATTTTGGATAACCTTCTGCGTAAATAATTATAAAAGCATAAGATAAAATGAATTATTCTTTTATAAATTAAAGTTCAAAAATAGACACTTAACGCTTTAGAAAAGTTTTTATTTAACTTATTTAAAAACCAGCCTTAAATATATTTTTACTCGGTCATTTTAAATATATATTTTTATTTTATTCCTTATATTTTAGTAAATTATTGTTTTCTTTCATATATACTAATATAATTCAACTAAAAATTACATATGACATTTGACAGCTGACAGCTTTTTAATACACTGAAGCATTAGTGAAAAAATCGTGAAAACATAAGAATTAAAATATGAAGATAAGTGAGTTTGAATTTAGAAAAAAAATAATTTTTTATTTTCATTTTTCTTTAAATGCTAAAAAATTTATTAGAGTAGACCCGTATAAATATTTAATCTATTCTTTTTTTGCATGCTGGATTCCCATTATAAAATTTCTTAATATATTTGTATTAGTTATACTATAATTATAAATCTATACATTGAATGTTTATCAAATATCAATGCATTTTTAACTTAAAATTAAATACAATAAAGTTTTTTAATAATTAGAAAAATTATCATTAAAGAAATAAATGTCATATATTAAAAATATAGTATCTATCCAATAAAAATTAAACTGTTATAATAAATATTATACGTTTATAGTAACAATTACAAAATAAAATAACTATATTAATATAAAATTTTAATATAAACACTAAATACATCAAATAATAATAAAATATATTAATTATTAATATTGATTAATGATTTTATATTAATAATTTACTTTCCTTTAGATAAACAATTTTAACACTTGACATTTTTTCCGTAAGTAAATGAAATTATTTTATCATGACCATATCTCTCCTGTACTGTACTCTAAGAGTAAATTAAAAATATAGATTGTGTTGATTTATATATTTTTAAATTTAATAAAAATATGTTAGCATAAACAAATTAATAAAATAAAGAAAAACATATTTATAATAAAAAATAATTTATTTATAAATAAATATAATTTGTTAAACTAAAATATAAGAATCTTATTTATTAGAAATTTATTTAATATTTTTTATAAAAATTTAAAGTATTAAAAGTGTGTATTTTATATCCTTATACCTAAGATATACACGATTAGAAAGTACTAATGAATTGGATTAATTAAAAGTGCGGATATAATAAATTCAATACAGTTATGTCAAATAGTAAGTAAAATATTGTCTTAACAAGGATTGTTTCATTAACTATCAAATAATTGCAATTTAAAAAATGCACACTTGGTTAATGACTAATGAGATAAGGATAAAAAAATGTAAAAACTGATAAAAAAATTTTTAAGATAACTTAAATAATACTATTAATTTAAAAAGGATAAATTTAAATTCTAACAAACTTTAAGAATTTAGCTTCACCACAAATTAGAAGTGACGAAAATAATTAAAATAAATCTTATATTAATTCTTAATTTATCTTAATTTAATTAGACTAATTCTTACTTTAGTCTTAGTTGGATCTAATTAAACTATTAATTTCTTATAATGATTCCTCAAGAAACCCACCTTTGGATTTTTAAGTTCAATTTTGAGGTTTACAACATAATTTACCTTTCAATTTCTTCCTAATCATATAAATCAATGATTATTAATTTATTACTAGATTAATATTGAACCTCCATAGTCACATACTAATGAGTGTTCTAATATTTGTAAAAGAAGAATTTTATTATTTGATAATTAAGATTGTAAAATTTATTTTATTAAATAAAATAAATTTCTTTACAAAATGAAATATTATTATATTATTTGTTAGCATCAAGAATATTAATAACAAGACAACAGTATAAGTATAATGTAGTTTGTTGTTTGATAACAGATTAAAATTCAATTGTTACAAGTACATTTGTTGGGTTAAGCAATTGACTTAGTTAATCAAATTTTAATAAAATAAGGAAAAACAAAGTAACAGTTATAAGATAGTGGAACAAATATATTAGGATTGGTAAAAAGGGTTGCCAGAGTTGGTAAAATTGTTGCAAATATATTACTATATATCTTAAGCAAAGTGTTACACATTAACCAGTTAGAAAACAAAAAGGATCAACAAAGTTCCTTTCCTTTCTCTCATATTCTACTAGTGATTGTTTCACCGTCAAAGAGTTGACACAAGAGGATTAGTCTTACAATTTGAAAAATCATCAACAAGTTCACAATTTAAAGTTTTTCCATCTGATATGATACATTTTGATACAAAATAAATCCTATTTTTCTGCTGCTGGTGTTATAAACACCATTTTATCAAACACAATATCCAACAATTACTATATCGTATTTCCTACAAAATTTCCACCAAAACACACAATTCCCTACCTTCTATCTCCACCACATTGCAATACATAGCAAAATAAATGGCATTCAAACACAACGAGATAGGGTAGAGTCCCCCTAACCTCAAATCGAAGACCCAAACACGAAATCAACAAGGAAAGTGCTCCCCACACAAATTTCATCCTAAATAAATGGAAAATCTCCATGAGAACCAAGGAAATCAAAAAGGGAATGAAACCCCAAAACCCTAACTCACTAACTTACCTCTAAATGCCCCAAACTCGTTTTCAACCTTCAATCTTAATCCCAAACAGCTTTGAAGGCAATTTAATTGGTAAGAATGACTTGGGAATCTAGAGAGGATTCAAAGGGAGAAGTGGGAAAATGATTTTCCTAAACCCTAGACCCTTCAAATACCCCTCTGGTCGTGATACTCTCGCTACAGGGAGATATTCTCACTGTAGTAAGGTCCCCTTTCGCTATAGCAAAAATCTCAGAGGAAACTACACTCTAATTTTTGTAGAATCTCCCTATAGCGAGACTGCACCCAGAAGTGCACCCTCCACTATCACCCTCTCGCTGTAGTGAGAGAACTCTCGCTACAGCGAGAACACAACAATTTCACCCCTCTCTCCCAGTACCTTCTCGCTATAGCGAGAACAACACAGTTTCATGCTCTTCGCCCAGGGTTTTCTCACTACAGCGAGAATACCCTGCAGCACCCACACTTAGCCTATATATATATATATTCAATCAATTCTATTCCAGTCACAATCCACATCACATTTCAACCACACTATATGGACCTCTTCATAATCATTTTCACACATTCATACATGTCCACGTCATTACACATATATACAGATCATCATATACATAAATCAACATACAAATGCATGAAAATCCACATATACACTTATATTAACATATGGAAATATTATTACAAAATCTGGGGCGTTACAAGAGAAGTCATCCAGATATAGGCTCTCTGAAGCCGTCTCGTTGTAGCGAGAGAGTTTTGTTATAGGGAGAAGTGAATAAGGATGACTCAATAACACTCTCGCTATAGCTAAAATGACATACAACAAGAAAAAATGTTTTCTGGTTTTTTTGTGTAGCGAGAGAAGGGTTCATTGTAGCGAGAATGTTACAAATTGAGGGATATTTAAGAGTTTTCAAGTTAAGAAAATTAGATTATACTCCAAGTTACGATCCTATCTAATTTTCCTCTAGCTTCTCTCCTCTTTTTCTCTTAGAGAACCCTTGATAAACCCTAATCTTCCTCTGATCAAAGCTTTAAAGTTCATTCCTCTCACTATTGGGTAAGTTCTTGAAGCTTGATTCTCCATTTCCTTGGTTGTTTTTCTTCTTTCTCACTTCTAAAAGGGGATCTCTTGCAATATTTAAGAACTTTTCAGTGTTTAAGCAAGATCCTTAACGAACTCCTTTTCTAAACTGTCACACCAAGGTAAGGAGAGCTCTATTTCATCATTTTAGTAAAGTGTTTATTTTGTCCTTATTGGACCAGTATTACATAGAAATTTTGTGAAAATATATGTCTAAAGTATACTATTTATGAATAATAGTTGAGAATATGCATGTTTGGTTGTTTGGCTTGAATGGTTATGTTCTGCTCACATGAAATTTATGATGAGTACTAAATGTGGAGTGCTATGGAAATATGTTGAGTGATTGTGGTATAATTATATGAGATGTTATGATTAAGCATGATATTGTATTTGTGAGTTAAAATGTATAAACTATGTGTCGAGATATGTATATGAGCATTTTTGGCTGTTGTAAAATATGATACTAGTTTAAATGATTTAATGAGTGAAACTATAGTCCGAAAGTGCTTTACTAAGCACGATCTTATAAGTGAAGAATGAAGGGATTCTTGAGATAAGTATAAGTGTTAGATATGCGAGCTCAACTTAGGTCGATTCATAAAGACACATCTTCAGCTAAATTCAATTTTAGGTTCTTTAAAAATATATGAGTAAATTTTAGAGATTTAAAAATTTGACCTTATTAAATTAAATTACAAACAAATTAAAATTTGGTAGAAACAAATTAAGAAATATCAATCCACAGAATACTAAATGCGTGTAACTTTGATTATCACAGTATCTAAAGATTTTAATCTGAGTTTGAACGTTTACTAAATTCAATTATTAATTCAATCGAATAACCTAATTGAACTAGATCACGAATTAAATCAAATTATCATTTAACCTAACCCAAATTAATTATCAAATTAGAATATCAATTGAATCCTAATTCGAATTCTACCAACAAAAAAGTTAATCACGATTGCAATACACAAATCTAAGGTTAGAGAAAAAGAGAACAAACTCAGAGCAATTCGGCTCAGAATTCAAATCAAAATTATAGCAT